CTCACTCCAGAATGAGGTTCTTGCTCTTGGGAACCAGGCTTACAAAGAAAAAATATATTTTTACTTTAAATTGCACTATTCATTTGCCTTCTGTGAACTGGTCACATAATGTTAGCACTCACCGAGAAGAACAGGCAGAGGACGTGGGTTTGTTTCAGAGTTAGGAACAGCTGAACAGGGGAGGTGGACAAAGAGGAAGAGAACAATGAAGTGGAAGAGGAGGACGAAGAGGCAGCCGCTAGGGGGCACAAAAATCCTTCAGCATTCTTGGCCATTACTCTGCCTATTCTGCGCCACACGAAAAAGCAAACTGTATTGAAAATTATGAAAGATGCAATCTTCCCCCAACCAATCAGTTCAATAAAAGAAAAGTGTCTTCTGCAATTACTAAGAGCTATAGGCTAAAGCAGCCTTGCAAAAAAAACTAAAAATAAAGGAAAAACACACCTGTTCAGGCATGAAGCTATTCACTTCTCTTTATTGCCTTAGAGATGCCTGTGGACAGAAAAATTAACCTGAAACCAGACAAAACTCTTTCATCTGCAGCAAGTTAGAGGAGAGTTCTGCAAGGCTAAAGAACAGCAAATGCTATTCCATATTAAAGCTTTATTTAAAAAAGACTGTTAAATCCCACCAAACAGATGGTTAAGGAGCTGGCTATTATAAAGAAACTCTCAGCAAAAGATAAATAGTTTGAACTCTCCAAAGGAAATAGAAATCAGCTAAGTTTAACTACTCTTGGAGCACTTCTAGTGACTTTTAGATTTTATTTCACTACTAGCATGAGATCTAGATTCTGTGCAGAGAATTTTCAACAGAGTTATAATTCATACCTATGCATTTCATTCTGCCCAGTATATCTGTTATGGAACCTAATCCTTAAGAGCCCTTTCTGCCACTGCAGTGGCTCCAAGTAATTTATATAAACATACAGAGAGAATACTAAATGTATGGAAGCAGAATCACTGTGAAGTACTGAATGTAGAACTCTGAAGGAAAGCCTTGACTGCAGATAAGAAGAGAACTGGCCATGCTTGGTTTCAGCTCCTTTTCTGTTGCTACAATGCTAAAATAAGCTGAAAATTGCAGATTGGAAAAAAAAAGCAATTAAAAAAAATAAATCACATATACATCTATTTTTTTAATGACCAGTGCTTATAAAGTATCCAAATGTAAACTACCCTCAAAACATTTATATCTATAAAGTAGCATATCTCCATATTAACAAGAGCACGACTCTCATGGTGCTCCACAAGGAAACTAAGTGCTCTCTACCCTCTGAAAACTGGACTGTCCTATCCATTTTACCAGGCCAGAAATAAAATTTAAGACATTGTGGGGTTTATGACATTCAGTTTCATCAACAGAAAAAAAATCATCACTAAAGGTAAGTACCAGATTAACCAGTTTTTGTGTTGGTGTTCATACTGGAATGTCAATTAAATGTTTCATTTGTGTGGTTAAATCCTAAAACTTGAAGGGGCAACAAATAAGAACCAGATACGACAACTGCAAACCAGGCCATAAGATCAGCACAGGGGAAGATCCCCTTCCCCTGCAGCTGACAAAGTCCTATCTCACACATTGCCAAGTGCCACGTATTAATCCATAAGAAGAACTGCAGCACAGGTGAAAGTTGTCAAAATGGGTGGCATGAGTGAAAACTTGTCACCAAACCCTAACCTCTTCAACCTCATAATTACACACAAGACTCACCTGGCTGAAGTACAGCACAAGAATTGCACTTGTCCTTCCATTTTATGCAGGTCCATGCACAGTTTTGATGAAACAGAAACCCTTCTGTAATAGCAGCCATGCTACTTAAATTTGTTTTTTTCTTTACAGTATGCGAGAAATTACTACTTTTATCTGCTTCTAAAGGTCAAAGTACAGAATCACAGCTTATCTGATGTGTAAAATCACCATATACTACTCTGAGAAACTGAAATGACAGTTTTTAAAGAAAAGGCTAAAAAGAACTTGTAATGTAGGAATTCAGAGTTATGAATCAATCACAATAATACTTAAGTCCCAGCTTAAGGGAGCTGCCAGCATTTTTTCAACCATTAAAAGCCCCATTATGTGACTTGCATGTAAAATTGCAGCAGAAGTGTAGTGCAACACTTCTGTCTAAAAAGAATCTGAGAGATCATTTTTCTCCAAAACCTTAATGTGTATTGATACTTGCCTGGGAGTTGGATATTTCTTTGACAACATTCAAATCAGATCCTGAGCAAAAGGTGTTTCCTGCACCATAGATGATAAGGCCTTTGCCATCCTTCCAGTTTTCCAGTTCAGTTATCCTCTCCTGGAGTTCTACCATCATAGTACCTGTCACAAGAGAGAAGAAGTGAATTTTTTAACAGGAAACTATTATCACTATCTCGTCTTGTGTTACATTTTTCACCACCAAAACCAAGTTAGAGTTACTAAGTGATGGACTTAAAACCACAAGGGAAAGTATCACCTTAAATCTTGCACACAAGCACTGACATAAATTTTTTTATTCAAGGTTGTACTTCCCAAAACTCTGAAGTACATTCTGCATGAAGGATATTTGTTTAACACTCATAAACCCAAAAAACCAAACCAAACCAAACTTATAAAAAACCCCAAAAACATCAAAACCCAGTCAATATTAACAAAGATTCCTTAAAAAAAGCTAAAGAGCAAACTATGTTGGAAGTGAGACATTTAGAAGTATCCATTCAAAAGAAAACAGTTATATTTGGAAATAGGAGCATAGTGTCTTTTATATTTTAAAAAAAGAAAAATATTTCTAAAATATCTTTTATTCCCTCCCCTGGAACCTTCTAGAAAGATCTCTATTGCAAAGTATATCATAGGCTTCAAATATATGGACTGTACAGGACTAGCTTTTTATTTCCAGCTTAAACATCACATTGTCATATATTTGCCTAAGTCTCCTTCCTGACATGGAACTCTACAAACTCCTGTTTCCAGAGCTCGTCCTAGACTGCAGCACCTTCTGCACCAGCGGAGCTTACCCTGCATTAACTTCAAGCTCTTCCTCTCTGAATGCCTATGACTCTGTCCAGTTATATTCTTAAGAGGAAACATTTACAGAAACTAATTTCAGAAAGCAGCTACATAGAGGCTGATGACACTCTCAGCTTTACCCTCTTTTGACAAGAATTTGAATGGACAGGCCTTACCTTCTTCAGATAGAAAAGTGTTTCAGATTAAGACTCTCAAGGGCTCTCTTCTGCCAAGTGTTGCTTTTTAAACTCTATGCCTGCATGCACAGGACTCATCCTGTTCTGAATTTGCCTGTTAGCACCTAATCCTGGGATTTATTTTTTTCCCTTCCTGTTTGTTTTTCTTGCATTTCCTTATGAAGTAAGCTTCCCAGCACAAGGTCAAGAGTGACACTCAGTCACACACTTCCTCCTTAGGTTTGGTGTCAGCCACAGAAATTGCACATTTTGACAGTGTTTCTGAGGAGGCCAATAATTAAGTGGACATTGCATATTACATACCAGAATGACACTGGGTTGGGTTTTTTTCCCCACTGTCAAGTCCAAACTCTGATCCTCTAACAAATCCCAGCAGTTCTGCCAGTTGCTTTCCTGTCTGTATTTATAATTTGAGCATGCTTTTTGTGTGTGGCATATTACACTTGGTTTCCTTGAATTTCACATTGTTGATCTTGAATTCTTTATAGCAGCTAATCAAGATCACTTTGAATTTTACTCCTCTGCTCCAACTAATAATCTTCTGCAAGCTCTCCCAATTTAGGGTCATCTGACAATTTCAGCAGTTCACCTCCTATTTCACTGGCCAAGCCATGAAGGAAAACATTGAGCAGAATTAGGCCTGGATGAGATTTTTGTGGGTCTTCACTTGAAATGCTTTTCCAGCCTAATCGTGCACTCAGCAACTCTTCTGCAAATGCTGCTGTTCAAATAGGTGTGCATCAACCCTTCTGCATATCTGCCAAGCCTTCTTACTAGAAAGGTATTTGGGCTGGCATCCAGGTTTTGCTAGAGTCAAATACAGCACAACCAGTGTTTGTGGTTCTTTTAATAGGCAAAGCAGTGAGGTATTGAAGCCTTTCCACAGAGTATTCCAAGCCAAAAATCTAGTTAACTGAAATATGAAGGAACTAAATGAGCCCAATACATGCAATAGCAGAGGACAGGAGACACTGGACAGAGCTGTCCCATCCTCCTGGGAGAGGATACCTGCCATTCCTGACAACACCGAACTATTATTTTACCAACAGACAAAGTCCATGATGTTTGACATAATGATGAGGACACAACACTAAAGCAAATCCTCATTCTGCCAGTCTTAGTCCTTCAGTATTTGATAAACTAGGTTCATGCTCTTCACAGAACTAAATCTACTTGGAAAAATAATTTGTTTGCATCTTAATAATAATCCAAGAACAAATGCTTTAAAATAAATTCTTCTCTTTTAAATTAAGTTCAAGTTCAGTTCAGTGAGAGGTTGGGCTGCTGAAATTGCTTCCACCAGGCTTAAACTGACATTATTAGCATTTCTTTCCAAAGAGAACATTTCAAACAGGTGGCTATCAGATTCCAATTAAAAAGAGAAAATAGGCATAACAACCTTCATATTACCCATTAGCAATTTGCCAACAATTTTGTTCTGGTTTTGGTTCCATGTGTTGCTCAAGCTTAGAATAAACATAATTCCTTTGAGATAAAAAGCTGCTGTGTAAAGTAAATGCCTGGCAAATAGAATTTCTCTCAACAGTTTAATTATGTTTTGCAGCTTTCTAAAGGAAGCTTATAAGTCAACATAAATTCACATCTGCCACTAATTCAGAAGCTCTGAGACACAGAATCAACAGAATTTATTTGAGGCAGAGAGCATCTACAGGCTCTGGCAATTTAGGGGATGTGTATCCCATCCTTCTCCTTGAAGGATATTATTTGATACACAACAGAAGGAAAAGGATCAAGTTATTGCTAGATCCTCAACAACTACAATTTACAGACAGCAATGTTAAAATGAAATGAAAAGCAGTATAAATTAGAATGCCACACCATTCACCACAGTGGCCAAGGGGCCAGCAAGATTCTGCTTCTACTCTCCCTCCTGCAACAACAAAAGATGTACAGTAGAAAGAAGCAGTATCTCTCGAACTGCCATAGTAAAATTTTCTAGAACAAATTTTTGTGGCTATTACCTAGCAAAATGGAGTACTTCTCTCTACAGGGCTCTACACATTTCTGCAAAACACAACTGCCTGATCCCATGGCTCATTTGTTATATGCTAATTAGGGTCTGCAACAAAGACAGAACTATTAATTTCCTCACCAGTTTTGCAGTTCCTCTTTGATACTAGAGCATCTAATTCACACACAGTCCTAAAAGGAGAGACTGTTTTACAGACCACTAACTAAGCCAGAGGTAAAATATCTGCTAATTTTGGGTGCTCAACTCAAGACATGTGGTATGATTTCTGTACACTAACATTATATAGCACATTGTACAGGCAAAGCACAGCTGCTAGTTGCCTAAATGGCAGCGGCAACTGCTCAGCACTTCAACCAAGTGAAGTGCAGTTTTGAGCCCTCCTGGGAGAGAAAACAGAGAACACAGTTGTAAGTTTCTATGAAAGTTTAGTGTAAGCGATTTGACTTTTATTACAACTGATCTCCATAGCAGACTGGGCTTTCTCTCTCCTTTCTCCTTTTGCTCTTGTATCTCATTTCTCATGCCTCTTTTAACTTCCACAACAAATAAGCTAAGAGCACACAGTCTACAAGCTGTACATTGCACAGTTCTGAGTCAAAAATAACACTCAACCTGTAGAAAAAGAGGAAACAACAATATGACTATGTAACAGCACGGATGCTGTATGCAGGCATTCAGAAGGACAATCCCTGTGCTAACATCTTTTAGCTACAACTTCTCAAGTTAGGTAATGATTTTACATGTGAACTTTTAAAAGAAAGCAAAAAAAATGCAGACACAACTAGGTGCTTTAACACCAGTTCTATTGTTCTGTTCTATTCCTTTCTGCTAACAGTCATTAGAGGAAGGAGTAGATTGACTTTCTTCATGTAAACAACTCTACACTTTGCTAGTGCATTGCAAACATACTTGCTCACAGCAAAGGAACAGTGAGAATTGGGCAGGAAAACAGAACAGGAAAAAAAGAAAGCAATAAGAGGACACAAATGTATCCATTTCAAAATATTAAGATGTAAATACATTCTTACACTAAAGGCTTATGCACAGCTCCAGCTCAGGCAGATTCAGACCCTGAACCTGTGCCACTCATGTCTGAAGAGAACCACATAAATTGGAATATTCTAGACAGTTAAGGAGAGGCAGCAAATATTCCCATATTGGAGATTAAAAACTTCTCATAACACAAGATTAATAAAATAGGCCACTTGGTTTTGATAGCTAAGTATTGTCCAGTGTAAAAGCATATTAAAAAGATCACTGATCTGCAACAGCTGAGAACACCCAGCTCTTCTGATCTTTAATTAACCAGTCATTGATATTTAAGGCATAAGGCAAATTCAGAAGAAATAGAAGCCAGTTTGGGTAACTGGAAAAGACCAAACTACAGAAGTTTAAGTTACAGGAAAGGCTTTAGGTAAAGAACAAAAAAGTAAATTCATTCCTTCTACACCACCTACAAAACAAAGATGTTGTCTTCTCACCCCCATAAAAATGCCCTCTGTGTTTCCAGAGCAGTGACAACAAAATGAGAGCAAAAACACAGTAGCAGAATTGGGCAGACATTTAAAAAAAGGGGGAGAGGGATATACTCCAAGACAGACCCTGAGAATTTCATATATTCTGATGACATTTATGGCAAAGCTGCTATGCAGAACAGTGAGTATTTGCTGCATATCTGAATAAAAGTTAAACATTTCTTCTTTTAACTAGGGAATGGTAAGGCATAGCCTTTTTTTTTCTTTAGGCAAAATGCTAAAGTGGGTAACTGAACAACAGAAAACCCAAAAACAACCAGTGATCCCATCAACTAATTAGTACCTGTAAAGGCATTCATTAGCTTCGGGTTGTTCACAGTCAGTATTCCAATGCCATTTTCTTCTTTGGAAAGATTGATGGATCCACCAGCAAACTGTTGAAGTTTCTTCTTTATCAATTCTTCCTTGTAGCCATGAGCACCGTTATACAGTGATAACATTCTCTGTTGTAGTATCCTTTCCTTTGCAGTCTGAAATAAGTTCTTCCACAGAGGAATAGCCATTTCTTGAAATAAATGGGGGGTGGATCAGAAAATTTCCCTTGAAATTCACTCCTCTGACAAAGATGGAAGCAGGACAGCAGAAACTAATATAAAGGTGATGCAAACATGAAAGTATACAGAAATCACTGCAGGCTGTATTTGCGAAATTCTTAGTCTGAATCTACTCCCACAAAGTTAACACAAGTTTTATGGATTGATTTTAGTAGCTAAGCCAGAAATTAGCACCTTTAAAATATTTTCTTGTAAAAATTATGCAGAAGTATTTGTGTGCAGAACATGAAAGAGATTCAAGAACTATAGTAAGACTCTTGTGTATTCCATTAGACCAGTTTACCCTTCGTCATCCTTCCCCCTGAAAAAATACCAAAACCCCAAATATCACATCTATGATGGAGGAAAAATCCTATCAAATCCCCTAGTTTTCAGGATCTGGATCTCCTACTTTTCTGTAAGCAACTATTAAAGCAAGACCTTTCTGAGGTACTTGAGGAACATAAAAATTAAGAACTGAAGACCATTCCTATATTGAAGTTTGTTCCCATCACCTAATTCCATTAACATAGTTATCACACTCCATCTCAAAACCAGTTAGTCTGCCTAGCCTCTGGTACCCATGTGCTTTTCCCAGTCATTACAGTATCACTTTAAGTTGATCTCACTTGGGCACAGAGCACCAGAACCTGTGCAGTACTCGACAGGATGAAAACTGTACAACAGTATTATATACTGGGCATTGCACTTGTCTTTTATACAGGTACATAATACTGCTAAACTATTTCTATGTACCAATATACCCATGGCTTATTCTTCTGGTATTTCCACTCTACAGTGTATGACTGCATATCAGAAAGTATGGGGAAATTAATTATCAAGTATTATTCTTGATCTGCACTTGTGCCTTATTTTATTTACTTTGGAAAAGAGTCTACCAGAGAAAGTGGTTTACAAGTGATTTGAAAGAAATGGGGTAAAGCCTGAACTAGAGACAGCTTATCTGGAACTTAAGTCCTATTAGAAGGTACTCAGAGTCAGAATCAAAAGAACCCCCACAGGACATGAAAAAGGTTTGTTATATTTAAGTCTTGCAATTTGTTAGAGTAGTCCTACCTTTGCCCCAAGCCCCCTTTTAATGGATACAGCTATTCAGAAGACATGGTAGATGCTAATTTTTTCAAGAACTGGGAGAAGACCATCTTTTGTTTCTTAACCATATTTGGCAGAAACAAGATTCTTTCAAAATTGGCAAGAAGTTCTTGGAAAGTTTTTCTAAAGTGAACCCAGAACACAAACATATTGACTGAGACAGAATTTGGTGATAGTTATCTTTTATGCCCTGTTCAGGGCATCTTACAATTTACAGACTCAAATTTTTTACAAACATTTTATATATAGACATGAACAAGCAAATGCACACTAAAACAACAACTAGTTTATAATGAAAAAAACTGAACAGTCTTGTCAGGTGAACACTTATCACTAGCTGTACCATCCTACACTGAAGTGGAAAATGCTTCTGTTGATGCAGGTATAGTCCCCATTGAAATGGTGGAGGAGTTTGGAGAATAACCACATTATGGGATGTGAAGAATTATGCATCATACCAGGCAATTTAGAAGAGCTATTTATGCCAGCAGATTTATACTTGCACTGCCATGCTGCACCTTCCAAAACAGCACTATCTCACAAGCTCAACAAGGCCTACATGACTCTATGCACTGTAAGGTCATCTACACTAGAGTAGGTAAACAGTTGATTTTTAAACATCCGTTGAGACACTAGGTTTTTACCTGTCATGATCTACTTTTCTAAAGTGAAAAATAATAAAACTAATTAAAATGTAATCAAGTTAAAGTCTAATTGAATGCAAGATTCATTACTTCCTAAGTAACATTCCCTAAATGCGGCTGCACTCAAACACTCTATGCCTGTTCTAATAAAGCCTGCAACACTTCAGCCACAGAGGTTTTAAAATCACTTCTCTTGGTAAAGTTTTATTTAAAGAGTGAAAATTAGTTTCCAAAGCTCATTTCTCAACTAATTGATTCTTTTTATATTCAGGCTCTCAGAAGAGAAACAGCCTTCCATTTTCTCTACAATCTCAGTAGTCATTCCTCAGCGCACACTGACGCAATAAAACTTTCCGTCCAGTTACGAGTTTTTGCTCAGGAGAGAACAGGGATAGTACAGGCTTTCATTGCAGAGTGCAATTTGAACAATCAGCTCCAGATACAAAGTGTGCCCAGTCCTCATAAGGAAACAGACTAGCTTGAATTTTCTATGAAGCTGCAGTGATTGGCTTGAAAGCAAAGAATGGGGAAAATAAAGGCTGTTCCGTTAACGTAACTCCTTGCCAACTTACACTTTTTTGACGACTTTTATACACTAGATTTCTCATGTCAAAAAACATACAGAGCAAAACAGACTTAAAATATGGAAATTTTATGCCAACGAAAAAAGGAGTCTGTCATTTTCAACTGCGTGGTTATATGCATTAACAGCTCTTTAATATTATCACTATGGTAATAAAGAGCATCAGCAAGTGCGGGATTAGAAAACAAATTGGACACCACTGCCTGCTGATCATGACTCACGATTAATGACTCATGCAGGGTATTATCTTGGAATTATATTCTTTAAAACCACTTCTGGTCAGTACCCAATAGTTTTTTAAAATAAAAATAGGATTATTTTAACAGCTTAGTCTGAGAGAGAGAACTGCTCAGGAAAAGCAGGATCCTTCAGCTACAGCTCTCTCGGTCTAAAGGGATTTCTGCTGATCTCTGACAAACAACATCCAAAATTTCAATCAGTACAGAGCACTCGCAATCCACGGCATGACTGAGATTGATTTTTTTGCACTGTAAGTGACAGCAGTGAGAGGGAGATGTTGAAGTAACCCTTACAATGTTGTAGGACAAGCCAAGAGATATTTACTGACAGTAAAATTTTCAGATTTTCAATTTAATGTAATCACATCTATTTAGATACACTTAGAGAAATGAAGTCTTAACCTAATTTTTAAAAGTCAAGCATGCTATTCCCACTAACATCTGTAGCACAGACAGTTCATGCAGTTTTTACAGTGAAAAAAAAATCTGACAGTACAGGAACAACATAGTGGACAATTAGCATCTTTCAAATGCTTTAAGTGCTACAGCTTTATTTATCACTGGTGATAACTAAGAGATAAAACAATAATATGGACATCAATAGTTGTCCATTCCACAGTTATTGTACCTCTTACATAAAAGAACAGTTTAAATCCCATTTGGCACTCAAATGATTTTGTAACACCCTTGCCTGTGGGCTAGCAGACTGTGGGGTAATATCAACACAGATCAAATGTCTGCATGTCAGTACAAAGGGATGACACACATTATGCAAGAGTGATAATATGTATCTGCATGCAAACACACAGAGTCTGTACATTTTTGTGTATGCTCATGTACCAGAGACCTTCCAAAAGGCTCTAGTAACTGCCTAGTTAAAATTCAGATCTCACAATGTTAATAAAAAATAGTAATAATACAGGTAACAGCAACATCACCATTCCCTAACTAGGTAGGTTCTTTGGGAAACCAGTAAGCTGCAACTCTTGAATAAGCATATTTGCCCTTACCCTTACCACTTAGACTACGCTGTTGTAACCCCAACATTTCTCTTGGAACACGGTGTATCAAACAGCAACCTCCAGCAATGCTGCCAGTTGCAATTGCCAGTGAACATAAGGATTGCTGTCCAGAGCAAAGGGTAAGAGCTGCAGGCAGCAACTTACTGGACGGGTAGAAGAACTAAGACAAACCAGAGAACTGAACGTTCCTAGCCCAAAGGAGCATTTGCACTGCATGCACAGACAGGAAACTCTGCACTACAAAGCAAGTTAAAATTCATGAGCAGGGAAAATTCCAGCTCAAAAATGGTGCCTGAATTATTGACACAAGTCAGAGGAAAATAAAATGGGGAGAAAAGATGTGGGGATGTGTTTTCAACACATCAGGGAAATACACGTGCCCTTTCATGTGGAGCAGGATGTGACAGGTGTGATATCAGATACCGAGAAAAAAACATAAGACAAAAAACCAGACATCAGCTGAATTTCTCATTTTGGATGAAGGTATCCTGAGAGAAAGCATAACAGAAATAAATAGATTCAACAGACAAAATCTACAAAAGAAATCTCTCAGAGGGGAAAATATTCAGATTACATTAAAAGAGCAATTAGAAAGGTACTTTTGTGACACTGCCAAAGGCACCAAGGGCAGCTGACAGGTCAAGAAGAATGGAAGAACTTGACTTGATGAAGACCTCTGGCAGCTGCAATTTCAGTGACAAGCACAGAAGTGCAAAGACAGGGAAAAAGGGTCACAAGATGTGAACTGAAGATGATGATTCACAATTTAGCCCTGTGTGGGTGTCTTACCAGTCACTGCAGAAGATGTTTATCTATACTAGAGACCACTGACCATAACTGTCAGATGCTTCACCATGTCCCTGCAGTGACTGGCTAACGAATGGAAAGCAAGTGCTGACCCAATGCTTAGGACTGGCACAACTGACCTTATAACATGAAAGCAGACTAAAGAGCAGAGAGCAATGGAAAAATATAACCAAAGAATGAAAATAGTTCATTTGTATCAAAAAAAAAAAGTAGGTTGAAAATGAGTGAAAATCACTAACACCAACTGGAACCTGGGACAGCAGGCTGATGGGTGATTATGGTGGGGGGAGGTGTGGAACTAATAAATTCTAGTGCTGGATGGAGAGAAGAGATTCAAAAAACAGCAAAACCAAAGGGGGCCAGCTTGGATGCAAATTAAGGTAAGATCATAGGTCTCATAGTGAAGAGGAGTCACTGGACTTGCCTTCAGACACAAGTAAGGTGTAGGAAAGAGGTCTCACATGGTTCCTCTGGTACCAGTTGTTTGTCACCACGCCTCACCTAAAGGTTACATAGCTCTCCACCTACTTCACCCACTGATGCACCTACTTTCCTTCCATGATGCGTGG